ATAAAAAGCATTTCAAAAAATACAGCATCCATTCATGTTCAAAACACTGGAAAAACTAGGGATAGTAGGAACTTACCCCAACATTGTGAAAGCTATCTATGCTAACCCCAAGGCCAACATCATTCTAAAATCTGTGGAAAAAAAAATATAATTGAAAGCACTTTCTCTAAAAACTGGAACAAGACAGGGATGTCTCTTTCACCACTTCTATTCAACATAGTCCTGGAAATTCTAGCCAGAGAAATTGGACAGAAGAAGGAATTAAAGAGATGCAAACAGTAAAAGAAGAGCTCAAACTATCCCTATTTGCTGATAGCCCAAAAATCTCCACCAGAAAACTTTTTGAATTTCTAATCAAAATATTGGGATACAAAATTAACACCAATACATCAATTGCATTCCTATATGTCATTGATGAACCAACTAAAAAAGAAACTAGATAAACTGGTCCTTTCACAATAGCCTCAAAAAAATAAAATATTTGGGAGTCAATCTAACGAAAGAGGCAAAGACCTCTACAATGGAAACTACAGAACATTGAAGAAAGAAATTGAAGACCTTAGAAGATGGAAAGATCTCCCATGTTCTTGCATAAACAGAATTAATATTATTAAAATGGCCATACTACCAAAAGCAAAATAGAAGTACAATGCAATTTCTATTAAGATTCTGATGACATTCTTCACAGAAATAGAAAAAGCAATCATGATTTTTTTTTTTTTTTAGAAATATAAGAGGCCCAGAATAGCCAAAGTAATCCTCAGGAAGAGTGAAGCAGTAGGCATCACAATACCAGACCTTAAACTATATGCAGAGCTGTAGTAACACAAATGTCATGGTGTTGGCACCAAAATAAACATGAAGATCAATGGTACAGAATAGAAGACACAGAGACAAACCCACAAAAGTACAGTTATCTCATATTAGACAAAGGTGCCATAAACATACATTGGAGAAAAGATAGCCTCTTCAACAAAGTGCTGGGAAAACTGGAAATCTTTATGTAATAAAACAAAATTAGACCTCTGTTTCTCACCCTTCATGAAAATTAACTCCATGTGGACAAAGGACCTATGCATTAGGACAGAGACCCTGTGCCTAATAGAAGAAAAATAAAGACCCAATCCTCTTTCATGTCAGCTTATGAACAAAATTCCTCAACGAGAATCCTGAAGTGCAAGAATTAAAATCAAGAATCAATATATGTGATTTTATCATATTAGAAAGCTTCTTCACAGTAAATAAAACAATCAAGAACATGAAGAGAGAGCCTACAGAATTGGAGAAAATCTTTGCCCCCTGCATCTCAGATAGAGCATTAATGTACAGGATATATAATGAACTCAAAAACCTTAACACTAATAATAATAATAATAATAATAATAATAATAAGAAGAAGAAGAAGAAGAAGAATGCAGTCAATAAATGGGCAAAGGAAATGAACAGGTTCCACAGAAGAAGAAATGCAAATGGTCAACAAATATGAAAGAATTTTTAAATCTCTAACAATTAAAAAAATGCAAGTCAAAACTACATTGAAATTTCATCTCACTCTAGTCAGAATGCTAATTATCAAGAATACAAGTAACAATAAATGTTGGATGTTTGGAAAAAAGTTCATTCATACATTGCTGGTGGGACTGAAAATCTGTGCAACCACTCTGGAAAGCAGTATGGAGATACCTCAGAAAACTTGGAATGGAACCACCATTTGACTCAGCTAATCCTCTCCTTTGTTTATACCCAAAGGACTTAAAATCAGCATACTATAGTGACTCAGCCATATCAACATTCATAGCAGCTCAATAAATAATAGCTAAGCTATGAAACCAACCTTGTTGCCTTCAATAGATGAATGGATAAAGAAAATGTGGTACATATACACAATGGCATATCATTCAGCCTTAAAGAAGAATGAAATTATGGCATTTCCTGAAAATGGATGCAGCTGGAGACTGTCATGCTAAGGGAAATAAACCAGCCCACAAAAAGCAAAGAACAATGTTCTATCTGATATGTAGATACTGACTCACAATGGACAGGAGAAGGGAGGAATGGAGGTTCAAATAGGACAGTGGGGAATGGAGGGATGGGAAGGTGGATGGGAATGGAAAGACAGTAGAATGAATTGGACATACCTTTGCTATGTTCATAGAGAATATAATCATTGTAATTCCACACCATGTACAATCATAAGAATTGGAAGTTATTCTCCATGTATATATGATATGTCAAAATACATTCTAGTGTCATGTATAACTAAAAAGAACAAATAAAAACTTCATAATTTTAGGACATAAAAAAGTAAACACACAATTGCATTAGAGAGACAAATGACCCAAAGAAATTATTTGCCAAAATATACAAAAATGAATTGGAGATTGGTCATGGTAGAGAAAAGCATTGAAAAACATAAATGGAGACTGAATGTCACAAGACTATTTTGAGAGAAGTAATTATTTCCAAAACAATGTAAGGACTTTTTTTAAATCTACCACAAAGACCAATAATAAGTTAAAAATGGTGACCACTGAATCATTCTGAGTGATTGTATTGCAAAAATGAGCGTGCATTATCATGCCATTCCCTACATGTCTCTAAGAAAATATGTAGTATATTAATTGATTTAGGAGTTGCAAATAAAATGTAGAAAAACAAAAAAGGAGATTTTGATGACAGATGAATGAGCCTCTAACAGTATAAATCTGTTAGTTATTAGCAAGGACCATACTTTCCACAGTGGGACAAGTGAAGTGTGGAATAACATTAAAAACAAAACATCTCTCTTAGCCTTAAGGTACTTTGAAAAGTGAAGTTTCAAATGATGGTTATAATTTATATGAAGATTCTAATGAAACACTATAAAATAGGAAAAAAGAGATTGTGGCATCTTGTCCATATCTGAACTAGACTTTACTCCTATGTCTGTGTGTTCAACAGGCACATACAAATGTAAATTTTGAAAATTTTATGCATGCAACAAATGCTTTATTAAAGAAATGAAAAGATTTTGCCAGCTGAATGGTCTGTATAACATCTACAGCATGTGGCTAAAAAGGAGTGTGATTTGCTTGCCTTCCATGTTGAGGCTTCATAATGAAGGTTTGGGGACTGTAAGTTTTCTTACAACATGAAAAAGAACCCAGTCAGATTTTTCTCTTTTGGATATAGAAGAAAATATCTTCCTTGGAATGTACCTTCAAGATGTCTATTAATGTTGCTTAACATAAAAAAAATACATTAAAATGTTGGTTTTCCAAAAAATCAGAGTTTCAAGGTATGGGAAAAAAGAAAAATATATATTTCTCTGATGTGGAGGCAATATGTTGTATGAGAATGAATAAAAAGATTACAGAAAAACAGAAATGTAGAAGCTATTTCCTCCTGACGCTTGCTGATCTTTTACCAAAGCTCAGGGCAACCAGAAAAGGGTTTGCTGACAGCACCTGAGTCAAGGACAAGTGTAGTTGATAGAGATTCATGTAGACAAAATGACTTCGTTCTGAATGCAGAAAGATTTGACCTGCAAAAAGGCAATGAAGTTAATCATAACTTTCCAAGTTTCTTACCAAAACTGCCAGTTATTTAAAAATACAGATTCAAAGTTAGCAAAATGAAATTATTGTTGTGCTTTAAAACAATTTTTTTCTTGAGTTTGCCTTTTGAGAACATCCAACTTGTTTAGAAATGTTCAAAATGATGACCTTTGAAACATGGGGAAGCTATAAGACAAACTTACAGATGCCAAGGAACTTTCTGAATAAGGAGATATAAAGGAGAAGGATATTTTTGTGAAGAGCTGAAAATGAATCCTTGAAAGTCTTAAAGCATGTTTGCTAGTAAATACAATTTTAAATAATGTATGCTCAAACACTTTTGCTGAGAATATTTACATTGATGTTGTTGCAGTTGACTGACACCAGAAATCAGTGTAATGTGGGCTTGATAAGGGCAGAGTACTTCCTGTTTGGCCACATTTTTTTTTTTAACCACTCGATGAAAACTATATGAAAAAAACAGAACTTTGTCATCTAATGCTGTAGGCAGTTCATAGCACGTCACTGGAAAAGAGAAGGGAAAACATTCTAGAATGTCATTGTCAAACTAATTTTTATTAAACAGAGACAATACCTGTGTACCTAGTCTGTATTTATTTTCATCTTTTCTGACAACTTTATATGACCAAAAAGGGTTAATAAAGTAGTTAAATAATTTTTTCAGAGGACAGAAAGAAAATTCTAAATTATAAACATATTGTTATATTTTCTTCCCACAGGTTATTTTTAGAGTGAGTCATAATTGCCTTGTGTGCTTAATTATATTTAATCGTCACTGTCACCTACCTTTCTTACTGTTTGTTTTAAATTACAGCATTTATAGAACAGAAAAGTAAGCAATAAGTAAAGTCCAATTGGTTTGCTGTGATTTGTAAATAAGTTAAGTCCTCTATAACTGAAAATGTACGGAAGGCTTTGGGAAAATTTTTGATAGTTTAACATGGAAAACTGAGCTGACTATATTTAAAAAAAACTCCAAATTTCTGTATTTTTTGAATATATGGCTTTGATTAATCTGTTTAGAAATCCAAAGATCTAAGTAAGAATAGCCTTATTAATAGGATAAACCATTACAGTATGTGTGTAGACATATATGTGTACATAGCTGTTTTCCCTTAGAATACATTGTAAATGTTATTTGGACTTTCTATTATGTTCTAACTTTTGAACCTTTGGGTTTTATTTCCATACACTACTATTTGATGCAAAAGGTTTTGATTGTATCTTTTGCTTCAGAGACTATTCTCCCAATGTTTTGTCTTATTGATGTCAAAGCTTTTCTTTTTGGTCAGTGTTCTTAGACTGCTACTTAGCTTTCCCTGGGCAATTCTGAATTAAATCATTTAAATGATCTATTTTGTCAATGACTATCTCTGATAGAATTGTTCCTAGGCCATCTCTAAATACTCAAGAAAACATTTTCTCTTTATTCTTTTCTTTCAGAACGTAACAGTTACAGCTCTTTTGGGTAAGTACCTAATGGGTTATCAGAGCCTCAAATTAGCAAATTATAAATGAGGTACACTTCAATGTTATAAAATTAATTTTATGTATCTTAAACAATAGATAAATGGTTTCCTGAGATCTGTATTCACAGCAATTAACTAAAAGGAAGCTATAAATTAAATGCTTCACTGAATGTTAACAAATTACATCCCATGACAATTGAATAGTAATGGTTTCAAATAAGAAATAATTGATAAACTTATTTTTTTAAAAAAATTAGAAGGCAAGTATTTCCAAGAATAATTCTAAAGAAATTTTAAATTTTAATTGAGATTTTGCTTTCAGCTAAATTTAGGCATAGATGAAATTATTTTTTATTACTGATTTTGCTCAGCCTTCTCGGAGCTCTCACACCCCCTAGTACCTAGACACTTTTAAGAAGAGCACAATAAAAGAATAGAAGCAAAAAAGAGTGAAGGAAACAGAATGACACTTGCAATCAGAAAACCTGGCTCTCAGACACACATCTGTGCCTTTCTGACTGGATGATTTTAGCTGAGTCATTTTTTAAGTTTGAATGATTCTATCTGCAAAATGGAGCTGGTGATCCTTAATCCAGACCATTTTTGAGAGAAGTAATTGAGATTGCACTTGTGAAATGCCTAATGTGAAGTCTGGCAATGGGATGACATTTAGAGCATGCTCATTTTTCATTCTTTCACTTATTCACTCATTATTCATGATACACTTCTGATTTTTAATCCTAAGAACTAATTCTCAGTTCCAGATTCCTTGTTCACCTCCACCCCACCCTTTTTAAAATTTTTCTCCAGCATCATATCAATATTCTGGCTTGTATTTCTATTTTGCTCCTATTGGCTGTTCTATAGAAAGGAGCACACTTTCTATATAATATATATATATTTTCTTTTTGTAAAACATACATAAAATATTAAGAGATACTGACAAATGACAGCAATTGATATTCCAGGTTTTCCCAACAGTGAATCTTCCCAGGTTTTCCTTTACATCTGTTCCTAGATGGTTTTGTAGGGGAAGAAAATACTCTAATTCTTTTCATGATGTCCATCAATTCATTCCAATCTATGTCAGCAATCAGTTGCACTAATGAGAATGACATCATTCTTCAACTCAGGAACTTTCTTCATGAAAGTTATATCAAGACTTGCAGGGAGCCTTAGTCTCCAAATAGTGCTCCTAAGATTTCATTTCATCAATTCATTCCAATCTTATGTCAGCAATCAGTTTCACTAATGAGAATGACATGATTCTTCAGCTTAGGAAGTTTCTTCATGAAAGTTATGTCAAGACTTATAGGGAGCCTTCGTCTCCAAATGGTATTTCTAAGATTTCTATCAGAATCTTTTCTTTTATTCCTACTCAGTCTTTAACATCCCAACCAATTTTTTCTGGTTTATGTACTGGATGGATATCTACCTAATAGATATCTTGAAACACTTGGAAGCTGCCCTTTCCTGGTCTCTTATTTAAGAATGAAGAGTCTTTCCTAACTCTTCACATTTCTTCTGACCTCCCCGAAAGCTTCATGGCTCAAGTTCTTGGAAGCTCTGCCAGATCTTCTGACATGTTTTTCTATTTATGCACTTCTTTGGGATTCTAATTAGTGTCAAAGTCATAGTTTGGGCTGTACCATGGCGCTGTGTGATTATTGTGTGAACTAGTCTTCCTTATTGTCTACAGGCTCTGATAACTGACCTATTTGCTTTCTATTACAAACTGGTTTTCTCCTAAAAGAGCATATTTACACAACTTCTTAAGTTCAAGTTTATAATTCTTCAAAGAATCCATTCTTTTTTTAACAAATAGTTTTTGGGTTCCTTAATTCAAATTCTAGGTTAGGTGCTTATGACTTAAGATGAAAACAAAACAAAATATACACCTGAGTCACAAGAAGTCTTCAACCCAATAGATAATTACTAATAGTTAATTTGAATTCCACATGATAAATAGTGTGCTAGAAGCAATCACAGAATGCTATCTATATCTGGAGGGAGCAATTCAGCCAGAAATTTTCATGAGATACATAAATGGAGTAGATTTGGGTTGGTAAAGAAGTGTGTGTGGGGGGTTACGTTTAGGAACACCATGTGCAAATATGGTACATGGCAGTGTGACAGATATACTTCTCTAAAGGATTTGCAAATGATTGTATAATCTGAACGGAAAAGTTTATTTGAGACATCTTAGGAAACAGAATGAGATGTTTATGAGGTATGAAGACAGAGAATTGCGGGCAATAATGTTCACTGAGGGAATTTAACTTAAAAAATGACTGCACAATTTGTGCTTTTGTTTTTATTCTACTCAATTCATCTCTTTGCCTTCTTCCCCTTTCACAACCAGATAATCTAATCTACATTGCAGTGTTATTCACTTGTAAAGGTTAATGTGTTATCTCTCAAGTACCAATTACTACATAGCTATGTTTCCTTTAAAAGCCAATGCTTAACATGTAATGTATGTGGAAGGGTGAAATCCTAGTGACTAAGGCAAGTCTGCATGAAAGAAATTATTCAAGTATCATGTTTTCTGCAATATCAGAAATGATTTTCTGCTTCCTATTTCTGTGAGTGCCATGCCTGTAAATATGATGTATTTGAGGGTTGGATCCAATTTATAAGATCAATTTTTGCTGTTTGTATAGATTTTGCCTTTAACAACTGTTAAGCTTTAAAAAGTTCCATAATACATTTGAATTGTAGAAAGTATTGTGATTTTAGTTAAATGTATCTATATTTGGTAATTTTGTCTTCTAAGAATTTGGCCTTTTTAATCTAAGTTGTCAAATTTCTAGTCAGAGTTATTTGTAGAGTTCATTATGTTTTTAATGTCTATGAATTAATTTAGTAGTCAGGCATTTCTTTCATGTTTGATATTAGTAATTTTTATCTTCTCTTTTTCTTGATTAGTAGTGTTATTGATGTTTTCAAAGATCCTGTTTTTTGATTTTTGTATTCTTTTCTTTTTTTGTAGCTGCATATGATGGTCTTTGACTCCCCAAAAACTAACATGCCAGATTTTTAGGAGTTAACCGAATTTTAATGCTACAAAATAAAGTATAAAATGAAGATTATGTATGTGGACACAAGCACACATTAGACTGGATGAGAGGAGAGCTGCTTACACATACATGTTACATTTGTAGACTACATTACTCTGTAATCCACACTGAATATTAAATTCATTTGTTCATTCATTCTGAAATTATTTAAAAATATGACTATAATCCTGGAACTCTTAATATTTGGGAATGAACAGCAAACAATTAGTTCATAAACTCCTGGAGCTTATACTCTACTACGGCATACAAAAACTACTAATAAAGAAGTAAATGTCAGGCAGTGACAAGTGGTATAAGAAAATTAAGTATGTGAATAATTAACAGAAAGGGAGAGCTATTCCTTATAAGGTACTATTGGAAAGTTTCCTTGATACTACTTGAACTGAAGAATAAAAACTGAACTATATGAAATAATGGGTAAGGACAGTTTAACAGGAGTGGAAAGAGAAGGTTTGTGAGGTAGAGAATATCTAGTATGTTCAAGGAACAAGAACAAATTGGTGCCTCCAAAGAAGATACAGAAATAGTTATTAAGGCATAGTAGTAGAGTAAGTTTCTTGAGAAAGCCCAAACTGCATCAACTAAATAAAGAAGAAATAAATAGAAAGAAGACCAGTAGAGTATAGGAAGGGGATCAGGAGAAGAAGGAGGGAAAGGAAAGGACAAATACTGGAGATTGAAACAGAACAAATTATGTTCTCTGTTGTTAGAAATATGTTAAAATGCATCCCACTCTTTTGAATAACTATACTGCATTAATAAAAAACATACAAAAGAAAGCCCACTCTCTTAGAAATCTGGACTCATATACTATTTATATTAGAAACATGAGCATTTTTTAAAGCTTTGGTATGTGCAAGCTGTATATAGGTTGGGTATTAAACCTTAAACCAGTAGGAGTCTTATTCAATCACTTACAAAGTCCTCCTCCATTATCCATTATGAATTTAATAGCTACCTTAAAGGTGAGATGGTTTGAAAGTCCTGGTGTCTGCTAAAAGTTTTTCATTTTGTTTTATCCTTTACCTGCTTCTAGAATGTTTATGTGCAAACATTACCATGCACAATTGTACACACAGAGTTAAGACTAAAGGCATTATGCGAGCACAGTAAAAAAAAAAAAAAAGTAGTTTTTAATTATCCATCATTAATTGGATTGTAGTCAGTCTTTAGAGTCTTATTTATACTTAAATTGCAATTAGCAATAATTACAACTAACACTGTCATCAAATGATAAGGAACCCATTTTCTCTGAGATAGCATATAAAGTTTTACTTATGAAAAATTTAAAATATGTATTTGAATTAGATAACAAAGGCATATTCTCATAAGAATTTTCATGTCAATAATATGAAGATATTTTAATAGAATGTCTTGGGCTGGGGTTGTAACTCAATGGTAGAGGGCTCACCAAGCATGTGTGAAGCCCTGGGTTTGATCCTCAGCACCACATAAAAATAAGTAAATAAAATAAAGGCATTATGTCCAACTACAACTAAAAAATAAAATATATATAATAAAGAATGTCTTATTAAATCAATAATAGTTATATATTGCCACAGTCCAGCTGCAGCAAAATAACCAGGGGGTGACAAGCAACTTGTGTAGATTGATACAGCAGGAGTGGGAACCGTTTATTGTAGGACAAGAGGGGTATATATATCTTACACACAGCTTATCTTAATTAACATAAACTAGACACAGCAGTCAACCAATAAGGAATCTCCACACTTAATGGCTCGCTGGCGTTACTTCACAAACCACTCCCTCTGGCAAAATGCCAGGCGCCATCCTGACTTGTCTACAGACTCTAACAATATATTAATAATAAAATAATATAAAGTCATTGGGTTTTAATGTAGTTCATAACAATTACAAATTTAATAATTAGACATAAACTTTCCTTTTTATTAAGTGTTATTTAATTTAATGATGAAAAAATATAATTAGGAGATTCTACTAATAAAATGATGTGATATTATTAATATAATGATGTGGTATTATTAATAAAGTGATGTGGTACTCTTCTATCTCTGTCTCTTTGGGCAACAGCAAATACCTGATTAACTTCAAAGAGCAGGTTATATCCATCAGCAAGCACAGATATTGTCCCTGGTATTTGTTAGAATGGGCTACTTGGCAGCATGAAATGTAATGAACCCATCTAACCTATACTCCTGACCCCTGTATTCAGAGATATTTTGTCTTCAATGGCAAAGCTTGGTTTCTTTCTGTGTGTATTTCTTTCTGGTGTGTACTTACTGAGAGCTCATCATATACACTATAACTGAGAACATCTCTAACTTCCAAGATCTAGTGGTTAGTGCATAACAATAGGAAAGCAAGTGGCCACAAAGTGATACTTGTGCAGGTGAATACAGTAATTTGGACCAGTGAAATCATCTTGAATTATTTTTGGAGATTTTAAGTAACTAGTGGTGGTTTTGATTATTATATTTTAATCTATTGATTCACAGAAATGACTATGATTGTGTAATAATATCTCTATGGCTCTTCACATATCTACTGTCCCTACTAGATAGTTATGAATCTTTGATCTGAAGATACACCTCATATATTTTGTTCTCTCACATCTGAAACACTGCTGCATACATAAGTAGACATTCAAGAATGATTGACAAATTAGCTTAATCACCCTCTCACTCTTCATCATATTTTTAAAATTGATAATTGCTTATGTTCAGATAAGGATGACACAACCACTGACCATTTCTACATTAAAATGAAAGACTTATTTATGTAATTCACCTCAAGTCACGTATATTCTACTTTTCTTGCTAACATTTATTGTTTAATGACTATTTTAGAACTGACTTTACTATGTAATGAATGCAATAAATGCACAAGTGAAATGAATAACAATTATCCTCTATTTATCATCCATACAGCTACTGAACCTGATAATTCTCTCACTAAAAATTGTTAAAATATTTAAGATTCATTTTTATTGCTCAGAAAATACACTGTAGTTAATTCAGAATCAAAGTAAAGTCATATACTCAAATTGAACAGTTGGTTAAGGCTTCAGGTGACTAATAAAATGACATCTCTGTACATACAGATACAATATAGTATTTTCCAATGATTTATACATGATGTGCAGTGTTTGCCTGATAATTTCATTTTCCCCATAAATGAGACTTCAAATCTTACATTAATTATTTAGAAATACTGACTTAACTTTTGATCAAATTCTTGTTAACTTCCAAATACACTTTGCCAGCATTTATTAGTGGTTGGTTACAATAGAAGATTTTTAAAAACATACATTTGAGAGCCTTAATTAGTAAAAAAGGAAAGAATAATCTCAAACTTTAATTATTTAATAATATAAACTTGATAATAATATTTGGTAATATAAAAAGAAAATGTGCCTACATACAAATGCAAGAAAATACAATATTTATAATATATGATACACTTAATGCATGTACATGGGTTTATTTCTAAATTGGCATGTGTGTCATAATCTCAGTCATTAGTCATGAGCTCACAACTCTTCACCAATCATTTGGAGAATTAGCTAAAATGTTAGATGCTAAGAAACAAGAATGAACTTTTTCTCAAATATTTGATTCATTCGTTCATTTCTGTTGTTATCTTGTTACTTCTAATAAACAAAGTTCAAATTTCACCAAAAAAAATATAAAAATGAAATCAGAGCATGACTTCATTTATTTCTTACTTCTTTCAGTGTTTCTAATATAGGGTACTGTTGGAACTTAATATTATATCAAGAGTATTAATTCTAAAAAACTTTAAAATTTAGCATTAAACTAGGCAAATTTGCCTGAAATATCATTTTCTCATTTATACAATTAAAATTTTCTTCCATGTCTAATTTTCCTTTGCATTGAATAACAATTTGATTCTCCCAAATTAAGCCTACATTTGCACATTTCATAGTAGAAATGCTTTGTGAACAGTTATTACATAAGCATAATTTGAAAGCATTAAATATATAAATGAAAATTTACTTGCAATTATTTTCTAATTGTATAACAGCTCTCTCTCTATATATATATGTATAATATATATATATATATATTATATATATAATATATATATTGCATTTGTACACATGAGAATGCATATGAGAATATATGTAAGTATATATATAATTATAAATGAGCATTTTTTTGTTAAGAATATAAAGAAATATGCTCTGTTAGGAAGTCTTTTCAAAATAACACTATGAAAGCAGAGAACTTTCTATACTAAAACTGGTTAAGAATTAGTCATTTAATTTGGATTGTACCATATATGTGTTTTGTCCTCCTTTTTTGCCTCCTGATTCTTAAGTTATTTTCTTCTTTTCTTATAGTCATTCTTTAGATTTTCAAGAACATATTATTCATTCATAAAGTAAATCAGATTAACATACTATTCCAGTTAGGTTACATACACTTAAATCTTCATTATTTCTGTTTTTGGAATGTCCTATAAATTTGTGGTGATATCTTTCACAAGAAAAAAATAGTAAGATATAACCAAGAACATAATTTTTAATAAATGATCTTTTTAAATGATTTACTCATAAAGATTACAAACAAGACACACTGATGAGCAGTTATAAAATATTTCTTTGTCAATAATCAAATCTGAAAAACAAATGAACATTTATTTTCCTATATGAAGCTGAGAATTTTTTTTACTCCATTTTGTGTGTTTTGCAGCCTTAACCTAGGGACCTTGTAAATTCCATTTGCTCATTCTGGGATTGCTTCTCACAGGTCGATTTGGAATGTCATTTGGTTCCAGTCTAACTTTTACTAGGTCTTCAAATTTAGACATTCAACTTTCTTTCCAAATGATTGTATGCAAATAATCTTGGTATTTGTAAGTGTGTGTGTGTCCCTGAGGAATTAAATTATTTATGAACATTTATAACACATCATAAGTTTAACTGTTTTCTATGTCTTCATGTTTTTTTATGTTTAGATCCTTAAGAAGAAGTGACAGAGGCTGCTCTATCTAGCCCAGATTATCCTTGTATAACCTGAATTACATAGGGTAATGCAAAAGAGA